TATGCACAAGAGCGCTGTCCAATGGAATGTGAAATACACATAGATTTGTGGGAAATAAATGGGAATCTAAGTTTCCTGTATGTTGATCTTTCCATGAAAGTCCACCAGTCAGACACTGGCTCATCGTGACTGAGGGTGGCTTCAGATGTTATGGGGCTGATGGGTTATATTTGAACACAGTGTGCTCCACAGAAACCTCTAAAAACATGAAGGGAAGATGCCTGGCAATAAGAGGTTTATAATGTATTTTCAGTCATGCATCATCTCCCCTTTTTACAGTATTTATTGACTTACATTATTTATAAACTGCCTTTTTCATGGAAAATCAAGGTGGATTATAGAATAAAAAACAATGCAACCATACAGAATAAAAATCCAGTGAACAATTCCATAGGACTGAAATTGCAAATTTAGAAAACAATGGGAGGGGCTGTGGCTCAGTAACAGAGCATCTGCTTGGCATGCAGAGGGTCCCAGGCTCTATCCCTAGCATCTACAGTGGGAAAGAAGAGGTAGTAGTTGGTGTGAAGTCTGAGACCCTGGAGAGCTGCTGTCAGTCTGAGTAGGCAATATTGACTTTGATGGACCCATGGTCTGATTCTTCATGTGCTGAACTTCATGTGCTCATATGTTCAATGCAACAAACTGTCTAAGGCAAAGTATATTATGAGCAAGCAGAAGTAAAATTATGAAATGCAGTGAAAGCAAGATGATACCTACAAGTAGGGCTGCCAGGTTCCTTGCTCCCACAGCTAGTCTGTAAAGCAGCAAGAGCAAAATATGCCCAAAAATTGCTGTCATGCAATGCCATACCACTACTTCTGGTGTTGGACCTGAAAATGATGTCCCAGCATTGCGTGACACTCTAGGAATTTCTCAGGTCTCTATGGTCAAAACTATAGAGATCTGGAAAATTCCTACAGCATCATCAATGCCATGATGTCACTTCCATGTCCATCCTGCAGTGACTGAATGATTGCATTTTTTAAGACTGTGCCCTGTTATGCATCTGAGGCATTACCTACAATAATAATTGCAGTTGAATACAGTCCTATTCCTACAATAATCCTATAATTCCTGCAATAATCACTACAGTAGACTATAGTCCTATTCCATTCTAAAGGTGCCTCTTGAACTGTTTCACGCTACTACCATTCTAATCCCTTCATAAAAATGCCTAACTGAACATCTGCTTTGCACATTCTATGGAGATAAAACTCAAGGAGAGCTACTGACTTCTTCAGGAAGGCTGTTCCACAAGGTGGGAACCACCACATAGTATGCAGATGTTTCTGAATGAGGGTTCACTGGAGACTTAAAAGTGATGCCTTCTGGGCTTGTCTGAAGTGTTTTCTGCACCAAGGAGGCAGAGGAAAGCCAGGATTAGCTCTTTGTTTTGTGGAAGAGATACTCCAGGAAAGATTGAAGTATGTAGCAAAAAACACAGTGGTGGCTGCCATAGTGCCCATGACAACCATGTTGGAGATATGTATAAACTGATGTATGTATATACACACGGGAGGGGGGGGAGTGTTTCCAAAATGAAACATCTATTATTCCATAAGTTTTCACTTTGCTAATGTACCTCATCTTGCAGTATACTTTAGCTCACATGAAAGTATACATATAGCAACTTCACACATCCAGTACAGTAGACCACTGTTTACAAAAACCACAGCCACAATAAAAGATTAGTCTCCCAGCTGCCACAGTTCTTAGGATTTTCTTTCCTGTTAACCACTAACATTGGTAGTTTTTTAGGATGGCTTTTATAGCATCTTTCAAAATGCAATAAATCAAGAGTTAATGACTAACTATGTTACCAGCCTCTCCTAGCCTTGAATAAATCATACCACCAATTTTCAGGATCATTGCAATGAAATGGAGTATGGTGTTTTTCGTTCTATCCAGCTGAAGTGCTTGTTCTTAAAACATCCAGAATCAAGCTTTCCACATGCATGCATACAGGATTCATTATTACAGTTGTGTCTGTTTATTCTGCTACAATAAAAAAAGGTCTGTCACCCACATTTTCCTGGATTAAAATATTTCCAAGTAGGTCTGGATGCTAGGAAGAATTCCACATCTGGGGTTCCCTAAAAAGCCTTTGCATGATCGATGGATGGAACTTCAGTTCTCAGTAGTGATTTAGCGGATGTTATATGCAACAATATATAAATGCTGCCTTTATAAAAAAATATAGACAGAAGAGAATATCTGCATTGAAAAGATCTCTATAAATCTTTCTTACTACAAAGGCTTGTTCTCAGGGAAGCACTAATAGATGTACAATAAAAAAGTGTGAGACCCCAAATGCTCCATGTGATAAGGAGCAGGGCCCTTCCGTGGGGGTGGTACGTAGAGGCTATAGGGTGTGTGTTATGTGCCATCGAGTAACTTTTGACAGATGGTGACCCTATAAATTAATGACCTCCAAAATATCCTATCATTAACAGGTACGCTATAGTATATTTCAACATTTCCAAACCCAGGACACCATGGAACCCATGACAACAGTATGACAGCATGGAACCCATGACAACACCATGACAGGAAGCCATATAACATAGTCATGTGACAGGTACTCATGTGACATCATGGCCAATCTAAATTCTCAGAGACCTGAGCCGGCTGATATCTCCATCCCTTCATTTCTTTCATTGACACCCAGCTGCTTTCAACATTCCATCCCTCCTATTTAGTCATCCAGATACTTTTTATGTTCCTTTTCTTTTGGTTAATTTACAAAGTCAGGTTTTTATATATTGGTGAAGAGTCCTGAAAATAGGGAGAGCCTCCTTACGTTTTCTGTGTGTGGCTCTGCTATGCTGCTTTCACTGTCCCAACAGGAGCCAGCACATTTACTATAACTGTAATTCTGTAATGTTCTGCATGGGTCCCTTTGATTATCCCTTCCTTCTTGTTTGGGGCAATTTGTCAATAAATTATTGTATCAATAGCAGACACAATCAGGGCCCTCTGTGCTTAACTTGGAACAATTAGTTTACAAAAACTACTTGGAAGCTCCATCACACAACTCAGTCTGAGTAACAAATTGCTTTTTGTATCAATTTAACTTTGGACCTAGCTGGGTCTTGAACCCTTGAAGGAATTCTATAGAATAGGACTGCCAACTCTTGGTTGGGAAATTCCTGGAGACTTGGAGGTGGAGCAAGGGAAGGGTGGAGTTTGGGGAGCTTAGCAGGGATGTGGTACCATAGAGTTTTCCCTCCAAATCGGCCATTTCCTTCAAGGAAACTGATCTCTGTAGTCTGGAGATCAGTTATAATTCTAGGAAGTCCCCAAGTTTCATCTGGAGGTCGGCAACCCTAAGTGTAGAGACAGCTACTTCTTGAAGGCAGTGTGCATATTCCAAAACTGTTTTAAAGCCAGTAGAAGAACAAAGCTAGAGTCCAGTGGCACCTTTAAGTGTGCATGCACACAAAAGCTTATACCTTGAATAAAATTTTGTTGGTCTTAAAGGTGCCCCTGGTCTCAAACTTTATTCTGTTGCTTCAGATTAACCTGGCTGCCCACCTGAAGCCATTAGAAGTCAGTGAGTACTGGCATGAGGCTTTCTGCCATAAAGCACACTGCCGAAAAATGCCACTTGTCACAACAGTGCCTAGGATGAAATATGGTGATGAAAAATTCCGTCAAGACGCAGCCGATTTATGGTGACCCCATGGGTTTTTCAAGGCAAGAGACATTCAGAGGTGGTCTGCCATTGCCTGCCTCTGTGTTGCATCCCTGGACTTCCTTGGTGGTCTCCCCTCCAAGTACTAACCATGGCCAAGCCTGCTTCACTTGCAAGACAGACTAACCCAGGCCATCCAGGTCAGACCAGGATAAGATATACTGTACTCTAAATCAGATGGCATAGATTCTGTGAGTTATGATCAGGCAGAATTGCCTGGCACAACGGGCTGCTGAGAATGCTATGCACTTTTGTTTGTCCTGCAACACAAAAAAGACCCAACCAGGGGTCATTTCCTGCAGGAGCGCACAGGAGTGGAGCTCCAGCAGTAAGGAGCCCAGGGGGCGGGTGTATGCAACAAGCCCCGCCCCCTGCTCCCAGCAGCCCTCAGTCAGGCCACGAGGAGCAAGAAGCAGCCAGGTAAGTTGCAGAGCCCCTCCCCTCGGCCCACCTTCAGGTACAAGCTCTCCCTCCTCTGTGAGGGCAGATCTGCATGCCCCCCCCCCAATAGCTAGCAATCCAAAACAGTCCACTGGAGCCTGAGCAGTGGGTGTTGCCCTCTGACACACTTCCGGTGATGTCAGGGGGTGTGGCATATGCAAATAAGTTATGCTAATAAGTTATGCTAATGAGCTCTTTTTCTACGAAATGACCCCTGGACCCAACATTAATGGTGGCTAGTCTTGTCAACAACCTGGAGGGGGAAAAATGTCCTGCCCTTTAAACAGGGCTTTAATGGGGTGTTATTTCCCAGGTGATGTTATTTCCCTCCATGCCACAAAAAGTGGCGACTGCCCTTTTCCACACATTAAGCCTCTGTTAAAGGAACAAGTTTTTTCTCTCCAGGTTGTTGGCAACCCTAATGGTAGCATTAAGAAGGAGCCCAACTTGATGTTTTACTGCACATCTCCAAAGGCCAGCAAAAGCAATGGCTGCCGCAGTAAGAGATAAAACACATGGAGCCCAGGGCAGCAATGAACTCTTAACAACATCTGGCAAATGCAAAAGAAAAAAAATCCTTGTAAAGCTTTCCACTGCTTGCCAATAGGGTGTTGTGAAAGGCTGGCCTCTCATTTTTACCATGGCTTCATAGCATGGGGATGCAACGGCAAACAAGCAACAGCCGTCACTGCTGAACACCAAGCAACCTTTCCCATTGTTGTTATTTGCATACAGTGCGTGAAGAGCTTTCCCGCCAAAAATAATATTGACCAACAGGGATTTTTTAAAAACTGTACCATAATCCCAGTATACAAATTGCTTTTGTTTACAATATACAGCGAGATAAAAGAATTTTGCCTACCTTGAGTGCAAATAAATAGTTGGATTTCTGAAGAGAAGGAGGGGAAAACATGAAAGGCATCCTGGGGAAAACAACAACACAAGCTTGTTTAGCTGACTTTCATACCAGGAGCAGATGCAGGACTTGGGGGTGGGGGTAGAGAGTCTTGAATGCAAACTTGGAAAACTTTGCCAGGCAACTTTTTCCTTTCCATTTATTTGAAAATGTTGTTGGAACTTCTAAAACCATCAAGGAACATGCAATGTTATATTTACAACATGGGCATACCAAAACCAGTTGCAAACCCAAAACAACCTAAAGCCCCCAAGCTCCACTTCAAAGTTAAGTGAAGAGGACTTGGGGGGGTGGGGAGCAGTCATTTATAGCTCACCAGGTAGCCATTATTCATTCTTCTAAATCCTGGTGGACATGGCTGTATGATTGACAAAAGGGCCCATAACATTTCACTATATGTTCAACGGTGGTCCTGGTCACACGAGCGAGATAATCCGGGGGGGGGGGGGGTTGCGGCTTTTTGCCCGGAGCAAATTGAAGTGTGGTAGCTCGATCAGATGTTTCTCTGAGGCTCCGTGCTCAGGCCATCAGCTGCTGATCACACGTTGATGGTGATGCATGGCAAAGAAGGGGGGGAGAAAGAAGTGGCATGGCACGATCACACATGGGGCGATCACAAGCCGCCACTTCCCGATCAGACAAACACTTAAAAAAAAAACCCTGGAGTTCCTGCATGCGCATGACCATGAAAGCAAATCCACAGAGGCTTTAAAAAATATATCCGGTGAGAGACGGGATGCAGATGGGTGCCAGATGCGACAGGATACCAGCGCTTCCACAATCCGACGCCTGCCCGTGCCCTGTGTTTTCTGGAAAACACTGCACTTTCCCAGGTATCTTTTTACTCCGCATCTTTGGCGGGGCGATGCAGGTTGCCGACAGGTGCAGGACACTTGCCAGATGTTCCCGTGTGATCATGCCCATAAAATCCACCCGGCATTTATCCCTATCACATGGCTAATTCTGTGTGTGACCAGATCCGGTATCTACTATTGTTACCCCAAATGCTATGTGTAGATTCCATTCTGCTAACAGCAATTTATTTTATTTATTTATTAAAACATTTATATCCTGCCTTTCCTTGTGGGTCAAGGTAGCTTACAATAGTAGATAAAAACATTTTTCAATTAAACCCAAAAATAAAATAGCAAACCCCCAAATCCACACCCCCTAACAAGATGCCTGCCATCCAAACCCTCTCAAGAGCCCTGGATAAACTGGCAGGCCTTGCAGAACTTCCTGAAGATCTCCAAGGAGCCTCCTCCCTTCATTAGGGAGCACATTCCACAGAAGCAGAGGCACAATGGAAAAGAGCCTAGGCTCTGGTTGATGCCAGACGGGCTACCCTAAGTTAGGGTTGCCACACCGCCAGTCTGGGTTGGGTTTCCCCCGATTTTGGGATCTCCAGTCCACCCCCAAACAGCCCCATCACACGCAAAATCGTTGGCATCACACCATAGAGTTTTGGCCAAAATGCTAGAATGTCACCATGCAAAGTCCCTGGTGTGATGTCACTTCCATGTGATGTCATCATGCTGATGATGTCACACATGCTGACGTCACCCCACCCTTCTTACCCCTGGAAGGCTCCTGCCCACCCCTGCTGGCAGGGTAAGTACACCTAGCAACCCTACCCTAAGTGGCGAGATAGCCAACAGATGGCTGCCTGATGACCATTGTTGGCTCACAGGGACACATGGAACAAGATGGTCCTTCAAACTTGCTTCTTCAAATATGATCTTTCCAGTAGAGTAAGGCTCCCTGCACTGGACGAAGGCTCCACTGTTAAGGGAACAAAACCTTTGGCTCCATTCAATGCCACTGTAATACAGTACTATAAAAATATTTTTTCATTACAGCTTAATCCTAAACTTTTACAGTAAATTCCACTGAGTCTATTGGAATATATTCTCAAATAAGGTCCAAAGGGATGCTAGCCCTTGGATGGCAATTCTGAAGAGCACGGGTGAGGGGGGAACTACTTGAAAGTCACTCCTTGGTTTGAAGCAAGAAGTGGCATCACGATGCTCTAGGAATTTTAAAAATCACTGGGAAAAACCATGGAGGGGTTTTTTTCAGTTTCAAGTGTCATGACATAATTTCTTCTTTTGAAACAGGTCATGACATCAGGATGCTCTAGGTATTTTAAAAAGTATGGTTTTACAATAGAGATCCTGAAATTCCTAGAGTGCCATGGCATCACTTCCTGTTCTGAAACAGGAATTAACTTTCACATGGTATTCCATCCCATTTTCCCCCACTGCTCCACTCAATGAGACTGGGGAACCGGGAAGTACCACAGGCAGGTCCTCCATCATTACCAGGGAAGTGGTAACTTATCCAAATTATATGTTATGTTTTACAGGAGTTTCCAACAAGGACTGGCAGCCACATTTCTAATACAGGTCCCTGGTGGCAACTGGGTGTAAAAGCATAACAGGGCCCAGTGCAGATAGAGACAATGGCTCTTTTACATGGTGTTATCATTGATGAGTCGTGTCTGCATATGGCTACAAATCACCGTGATAATCTCATCTACAATATGACATTTAGTTGGGCCCTAGCGTGCACAGTACTGTAACCTGAACACATTTCTTTGGGTTCAAAGGCCATTGAAGGTGATGAAAACATTCTCCAGATAATTATACGGCTGGATTGTATCCCAATGAACAAGTTTAAATTCAGATACCCTATACAACTGGTTTGTAGGTTTGGCTGTAACATATGAAAGCAAGCTCTTAAAACGTTACCTTTTCTGACCAAGAAATGAAACCCTTATTCTTTTCCATTGTATTTCTTGCAACAGTTTCAAACACATGTAAACTAGGTGGAAAAGACACTTGTTCATACATTATGAGCTACACGTTTTTTCTAATACAGAAAGTAATTTCCACAGCAGAAAACAGAAGACTACTCCACAGAGTTGCTAGCTCTGGGTGGGGAAATACCTGGAGATTTTGAGGGTAGGACATGGGGAGGGAGGGGTTGGGGGAGGGGAGGTACCTCAGCAGGGTATAATCCTATAAAGCCTACCCTTCAAAGCAGCCATTTTCTCCAGGGGAACTGATTTTGGTTGTCTGGAGATTAATGTAATAGCAAAAGATCTCAAGGTGCCACCTGGAGGTTGGTAACCCTAATACTCTAGGAACCTAAGACAGAAGAATCAAACTATCTTTCTTCAGTTATCAGTTAATGGGTGCCACCCACAATGTTTTACTATTGTGTATCCAACCCTATTGGCAAACACATGTACAGAGGACTAAAAGATGAAGCAACTTACCTTACTTGGCACCAGGAGGGGAAAGCAAGAAAAGAGAAGCAAGTTAAAGAAGTCAAAAGGGAAAGCAAGAACGATGCATCAGCAGCAGAAAACAGGGACGCAGAAAGCATCACAACACTGAATGTGCAAGAATACTACAAAGAAGGATGAACTAAAATAAGAGAAGGGTGGATGGAATAGAGTGGGGAAGATTCAAGTGATCATTTGCTTGGGCCACCTTAATCTAGCACTGAAATGTGTGCCAAAGCATTGGGTTTATGAGAGAGAGGGGGGATGGAAGTGATGTACATCGAGTCAAGAGTAATAGAATAGCTGTAGGCCACCCAACCTGGAGAATGCTGGCTTTGTCCGAATATGCAGGTGCAGCCCTTCCCTTTTCTGTTGCATCAAAGAACTGCAAAGCACTTAATACTTCTCTTCCCAGTGATGGACTGCATATGAAGTGACCTTTAGACCACTCTGCACATTTAACAAATTTGCTAGCCAATTAACATAATGGCTTTCTGTACCCAAGGGCACTCTAGAGATTATCAGAAGAGGTGACTGAAGCCGAGTGTGAAATTTAAGGCACATCCCATGGAAATGCAGCTAACCAGATTAATGGCTACTACTTTCCTTTCCATTCATTTCCAGGAGGAAAGTTGTACACTGTACCTTAGCAGTGGGAATGTTCCTTCCATTATGAGCAAGACAGAGCCTACATATGAGGTTCTAAGATGCACTGGGAATTTACTAGTGCTAGGACAGGAACTTCATATAAACAAATACACTGTGGATCTGGCTGGCAAAACCTGCCCCAAACAGATTCACGGTGCAGTTTCCTCTGGCAAGAGAGAGAGACAATGTGACAAGAGATCTCTGTTGGAACAGGAAGATTTGTCTCTACTTGCTCATAAAGGAACATTTCCTTTTTTTGCCTTCCTCTGTCAAAGAACTTGAAATGTGCCCCAGAGCTACAAAACAGTTCAGGTTTGATTTTGGGGGGAAAGATTGCTACATTGCTGAATAGTTTTTTAAAATATTCAGCATTTACGGTTTAAACAATATTTTGGGAACCACGCAGGAAGTTTTATCAGAACAATGCAATTTACAGCTAGGAATTATCCGTACACCCTCATTTATCAAAATAATGTGGTCATTTGAGTAATCTGAAGGAAAGAGGCAGCACTGTTGATACTGTAGAATGCTCAGAGAAATCTATACAGAAGTAGAAGATACGGAGATGATTAAGGATATTAACTCAACCAGGATTCAGGTAATAAAAGCTGTATTACAGCTCAGCCCTGCCCACCCCACAATTTGTAGGAAAATAGTAAACTGTGAACACATATGGTAAGCCCTCTTTCTCCAAACTTGCTGGAATCTATTGCCATCTGTGCATCACACATCTTCTGGCTATGAAAACCATGTTATTTTTTTTTTAAGTTACCATAACATTTAAAAGGCTTTATATAAAGAGGAGAAAATATTTGGCCAAACAGTATTATTTAACAGGACCAAATACCAGAGGCAATTATTTGTAAGTGTATAAGGAGTATAGAGTAAAAAAAGACCAAATGCTTTCAAAATTTAGCTCAGAGGATTAGTGTTTTCTCTAGCTGTAATAAAAAGTGGTTATATTATACTGCACACTTCGGGGGAATTTTCCACAGGGATTGAGATCTAAAAAGCTGTTAACATAGGTGACTGAGTTTGAGATGGTAACTTTTCCATGTATTTCACAACTGG